GAAAGAGCTAGCAGTCTAGCAGGAGTCACAGGGGAAAGCAACAGTAAATGTGCGATGACTGTATCCCACTGAAAGACTCCACCTCAGATGTGCTGCAGGAGATGGGCTCCTTTGTGGCTACCGCAGGTCAGGTTCATCACTATCCCATAAGCTTTAGATTAACAACAACCTTTCTATACCGATTGCCTGACACAACCTCTGTTCAAATGACTTCCACACCTAGTCTCACTGCATCGGACCACCCTAAACGAGTGTTTTTCATCAGCAAAGCTGGTAACACATCTGTTGCTGCCAGGATCACCCAACTCACCTCAAACCTCCACAGTGCTGCAGCGCAGACTCCTGCATCCGTGCAAGTCACTCTAGCTCCCTGTATTTATAAGGCAATAACTTCATTTGATCATTTCCATCTCAGAAGCCTTCACTTTGCCACATAAAGCGGTAAGCTTAGGGCAAAGGCAAACCCCAGAAAGACAGGAAGATGAAGATCTTGCTCATATACAGTGATCTTTCACGGAGACCAGAGCATAATGAGGCTATACCATTTCTCACACTGTAATCCAAAGCTATGATGATACTTCACCTTTTTCCTCTTTAGGAGCTTTGTTTACAGTTACAGCCATAAACAGAAGATGACCTGAGAGCTACTTCCCATCAGTGGAACGTCCCGGAGTAGGGAGAAAGATGCTGGGGTTTGGGTGAAGAGGAAGGAGCACAAGCTCTTACAGTTACTACATTCACATGTAGCTAGAGCAAATGATAATCAGTGAAGCAGAAAGCACTCCTACAGCCAGCCATATAGCCACATGCTGCTGAATATGTAAAGCAACAACTACTCTTAATGCATGGATTCATGTCAACAAGCACTTCACATTATTTGCTGGTAAAAATAAATGCCACTGGTAGCTGGACTGGAGGAGAGTTCATTCCCGTCAAGAAGTTACAAGTACCTACAACACCTTCAAGCAGAGCTGGTCCCTAACACTCCAAGCATGGTGCCACCTCTCAAGTGTTTCTTGGCACACCTCAGTTCTGAGCAGTAAGTTTTTATTCCAGCACTACAGCTTTCACCAGAAAGAATTAGTACCAGGTAATACAGCACCTGCTATACTTAGGTATGCTAGAGACCAACACCAAACCTAAGTGACTTTCCAACTTAAGGCAACTTCCATACGTCCTGAGAAGAGAGATGAACAAGAAGCACCCAGATAACTGTTCTACAACCAAGTGTATTTTTCCAAGCTCCCTTGCAAGGGTGACGGAGGAAATTGATGCATGACGCCTTCTCCCTTCGACTTCTTTGCTCAAGTAAAAAAACTCCACAGCAGCATAGCCAGCTCTACAAACTGTATAAAACCAAACCACAAAGTCAAAAAAAAAAAAAAAGACCAAAACAAAAAACCAAACCCAAAACCACAACCAAAAAATATCAAACCCTAAACAAAAGCAAACCACATCCCACAAGGAAACCTAAATGCACTGCATTTTTCCTAAAATCCAACATCTTGAATGCCTATCATTAAACAAGCATCTTAGAAAAACAAAACCAAAACTGACTTTTTGGACAAGAGAGTCTACAACGGAGGGGAAGGAAAGCAAAAGTTTGGAGTTCAAGAACTAGAGGACAAACAACTTCACAATTAAAAACTGCCTAGGAAATTGGCAATGGTGTTTTGAGTATGATTAAAGCAGCCCTGTCAAGACATTGCATTTATAAGGGCATATACCTGCTCATGCTTGACTTGTGAGGAGGAAATGTGAGTTATAAAAGGAAGAAAAAGGAATCTATGCAGGGCTCTTCATCTAACCTGGAAGGTGACATTATATTCTTTGCTGTAATTCAGGAAAAGATCATTCCCTTATTACATACTAACAAAGCAAAATTAAAAAAAAAAAAAAGTAGCAGCCAGGAACCCTAAGGAGCAGTCCAGCACTGCTGCCCCCCAAATTACTACACTTGAATTCACTCCTTGAAAATGCAACACAACTTGTTGTACCAACACGTTCATGGCTAACAATAAATAATAAATAACAATAAATTATGGCTCAGCACACATTCATGTCCATTTTGGGGAAGGAGTCTGGTCCATTCTCCTTCTCCAATTTCATCTGTACCAGACACCACCTATCAAATGTGTTGCTAGTCCTGGGACACCAGCCTTTTAGTCAAGGACTGCTCTTTGCTTAATGAAAGGAAGAGCTCCAAGTGTCTATGTAACATATAAACCAGCAGACCATGCACTGAGACAATCACATGGACAAAGCAGACACAAGGATGCTCTCCTTTCAGTAGTCATTCCTGTACAGAATCTTTTGTTGCAGGAGAAGTCCATCAACAACAAAAACCTCAAGAGAAACTAATTGAGCTCCACACGGTTGAACAGCGAATTGCCAGGTTGCTTTGCCACTGGGGCAGGAGGACACGCAGGAATTAGCATCAAACAGTAGATAAAACTAAGGTAAGGGAGGCAGAAGCTGCATCCCCACACACATCAGCATGAACTGATGTATTTTAATGTTATAACACCAGTGTTACCCACAAATAAGTCTTTCGGGGGGG